TTCAGAAACTTGACTTTTTCTTCAGAAATGTGAGCAGCAACTCTTCTGATGAACAAGTCTTGTCTTCTAATCCCGAAGTAGAAGCTTTCTCTTCATGTGTTCAGTCTTGACTTTGTCTTCAGAATTATAAGCAAAAGCTTTTATGAAGAACAAATCATGACTTCTGATCTTTGTGTTGGAAGCTTGTTTATTGAACCATCTTGATTTCTGATCTTGAAGCAACGACTTATTAGAAACTCTTCCTTCTTGTGACTTGTGACTTCAAAAGCAGCATCTTGTTGAGAAATATACACATGATCCTCTTTCTGACGTGCTTAGCGTATTTCTGATTCTCTAGACAATCGTCCTGAATAAACTATACATTCTTATTTGCATACTCAATAAAACCATTAGAACTAAAAAAATTTCTTCATAAAATATATGCATTGTTATCATCAAAACACAAAGATTTGAACACAGATCCAAATCTTGTTCTAACAAACTCTATTTTTTCCTAATGGTATATTTTTGGCTAGCTTGTGGGTCTTCAATCTATTGCATTGAAACTACTTTCACAATTTATTCATCTTCTGCTGAGAGAAATAAGAGAACATGTGGACTTATTCACTCGTTGAAAATGAATAAGCCCAATCTAAAAAGGGGTAAGGATTTAGTTTTTGTTCATACAAATATACGTCTTCTCTTAAGAAAGAGTAAGACTTATAATAAAGGAGCAACAAAAATGTGAGATATTAATGGAGATTATTTATATCTATTTGATGGAGTTAGTATTTTTGAAGTTGCTAGTCTTTCTCTAGATGAACTAGAATTAGAAGTCTCTCTTTTTAATGATGTTGCAGAGGGAAATATTGATATTCATTAATGATTTCATGATTTATTGACATTTTTAAAGTGTGATTTATTTATGTTATGCGTAAATATTTTCTCTTTTTGTGCAACCAGTTTTTAATTTTAATGTTTGGTTGTCATCTAAACAATATAATTTCTTTGTTATTTTTATAATTGTATTTTTTTAAAATTATAATCGCGTACCCGTACCTTAGTTTTTCACAATATGTCATATTCCATAGCAGTATCAATATTGGGTACCGGGTATGTACTAGTACCTTTGCAACACATGTGCCTCACTTGCAACGCCTTTGTTGGTGTGATTTTACGTGCATACATAAATGTATCTTTGGATGCTAGGGACAATTGAGACATGGTGTGGGAGAACATATACGGGTTGAAAGATAAACTCTCTACACTTTATGGATGAAGTATTCATATGAACCTATTAAGTGTTGGAAATCCACGATTACCTATAGAGAATTTTTATCAATCTTGATGAATAAAATTATTATCAATACACAATAACAATGAAAGAAAGAATTAGACACTACTACAAATAACGCTTCTAACATCGGATGTTAAATGCATTTTACCTCGGCATTAGATGCAAGGTGAATAAGACCGTCATAAAAAGTAAAGACTTATCACCTCAGTGTTTAAAACACCGAGGTAAAATTTTATTACCGCATGAGTTCAAACCCCAACAGCAACAACTTTTATTATTTTCAAAACTAGCATATCTTTTATCTCGGTTTATCAAAATAACCGAGGGATATGATTATATATTTATTTTTTTCAAAAATTGTTACATTGTTTTCCCAGAATATTACATTGCTTACCCAAAATATTAAAATTAAAATTAAAATCAAATTTCCTAGGGATCTAGAAAAAAAATCAAATTCCATCAAGATGTAGACTTTAGATCTTCGAATTATTGAATATAGGTGAAGATCAAATATTGGATGCAAGAATATTCTCTACGAATCTTGCATGAGTTTGTTTCTGGTGGAATAAAAAGGGTAAGATAATTAATATCAATAATTAAAAATATTTTTGGTACAAATAAAAATTTAATAAAACAAACCTTGAACCCAGATGTTATTCTGCTCTTGCAATGTATCATAGAGAATTTTTCCAAACGTCTTTAGGTTTCAAGTGCTTCATATGTTTCATTTAGGTTAGATTTCCAATATCTTAAGAGAACTTATATAATGGATGTCTCGTAGGTTTCACGCGGATCACTAATGGCAGATTCTTGAGCGTTGATAATCTTTAAATGGACGTCCAAAATTTGTTTAAGACCGTTGAAAATAGTGAAAAATAACACTTAAATATCCTCTTGGTTTTTGAATAAAACCGAGGGGTTAGATTTATTTATTTATTTTACAAAAATGGTACATTGTTTACCCAGAATATTAAAAATACATTGTATGCAACAAATTTTCGCAGAATATCAAGATTATTTACCAAGAATATTAAAAATACAGCATGTCTAGGTCCCAAATAAGATGCTAGAGATCTGTTTTACTGATATCCATCTTTTGAAAAGTTAAACTCCCTTCTTTGTTTAAACTTTCAAATTTGAGCTCCCTTCTTTGTTTAAGTTGAAGAAATAATGATTTTTTGCACTTGCAATCTATCAAATGAACAAAAATACAACAACACCAACAACATTTCTCAAAAAAAAATATACAACACCATTTTGTGAGATAAATTACAAGAGCAGAAAAATGTTTTGTTAATATTGAAGATTTTTATGTCTTGCAATCTATCATAAATAATTATGCGAGTTGGACGACTTCATATTAACACAAATTAGGGTAAAATCTAACGATTTCTTTTATAGTAAAATCTGACTATTATACCCTTCGATTTAGTTATAAAACCGAGGTAACATTATTATTTATTATTTTTTTAACTATCACCGCAATTAAGGTTATAAAACTGACGTGATAGTTATTATTATTTAATATTTTTTGAACTATCACATCGGTTAAGGTTAAAAACCGAGGTGATAGTTGTTTTTTTTATATTACATTGTATACGCATAATATTAAAATAAATTGTTTACAAAAAAAAATTTCAATGGTTTTTCTGCACTTGCAATTTATCATATAGGTGTTGATGCTTGAATGTCAGAACTTTGCATCCAAAATTGATTTTTGATGCTATCATTAGCATTGCCTTCACTAGCGTATACAATGTGCATGCGTTGAATGCATCCAACTTCTAATAAGGTGTTTGTTCCAAAAATTAGAAAATATTTTTCTGCACTTGCAATTCAACTTCTAGTAAAGACTTTTAGAAATTAATCATAGTTGTTCAAAACCTCCAACAACAACAACATCAACACCATTATTTGAGATGGATTGAAAAAGGTAAAAAATGTTTTGTTCAAGGTAGGAGAATATTTTTTTCAGTTTTGCAATACACCCTAAAAAAATGATGCATTCGACGGTGGGGCGGTTAAAAATAAGATAGCGTTATGATGAAATATGTTCAAAGAGTGTTTTTATAATAAAATCTGATTATTTTATCCCTCAGGTTATCAAAGAAATTGAAGGGTTAGATCACTTATTTTATACTTATAAACAAATAAAAACATAAAGTACAGTAGCTGGGATTTGAAGTATGTTCGGAATGATATATCACCCCGGTTTTTAAAATAACTGAGGAAACAAGTTTTTTTAAAATAAAATATGGTGCACCTTGGAATAAAACCTCGATTTTTTTCGAGATGACGTGAAATCTTTGTCATGAAAAACGTTATTTGTTGTAGTGAGTGTTTGACAAAATATGGAAGAAGATGATGATTTCTGCAGAGTTTCTCTCTGTCTACAAACTGTGGAAAAATCTTATTCACTTTGAAACTGAAAAATTCTGTGAGTACAAATTCTGAGTAATTACAAAATAAAGGTTACTCTCTATTTATAATAATCTTACTTGCTCCATAAGTCAAAGTCCACAAATAACAAAAATCCAAAACACTTAATGCAATTAACACTATTAAAAGTAGGCTTAAATCAAAATACTTATTGATGTTACTCCTTTGATATTTTTAACATAAACTAGACTAGACTATTTCGATAAATCCTTTCTTCTGTCGAATAACTTACTTTGACACAAATAATTACAATCTCACCATTAAGTTGGATCTTGAGATCCAAAAACACAGTTACAATATTTTTCTTCCATCTTTGTTTGTCATTCTCATACCAGGTTAGACTCGAACAATAAGATACATTAAAAAATATGAATTTAAAATCTTGACTTGCTTGGAAAAAAAGCAAGAGGATTTACATAATTAAAAGTTATAAGAATTCATTTTTGTCCATTAATGTTCGCACCTGAAAAAGAATTGCCAAAAAAAAAAAGTTGAACTAACATAGTAAAAAGTTTAAGTTTAAAATCTTGTCTGCCCTAATAAAAAATACATTAAAAAATAGACATAACCACGAACTCATCTATTTTATCACTCTTATATCATTTGTTGGAGAAAAAAAATGGAAACAATTAGACGAGATGCTACAAATTATTTAGTAATTAATTAATCACTTAAATATAATAAAATTATACTTTAAAAGAAGTATATTTAAACTCAATATGAATTGAAAACATATATAAATATTATATTTCGGCGTCTCAAAATAAGCATTATATTTTATAAAATTATGGATTAAATATGTTATTAATCTCTATAAAAAATTTTAAAATAGTTTTTAGTCTCTATAAAAAAAAAGTTAAATTTTAATTCTATAAAATTATTTTTGTATGCAGTTTTAATCTTAATAAATTTATAAAAATTCAAATTCAATTTTTTTATAGAAATTAAAAATTAAAATTAAAATATTTATAAAAATTAAAAATATATTTAATTCTAAAATTATTTATTTTAAAATAAATGTCAATTTTGTTTTCCAATACAAATCTTATTTTTTATCTTTTAGTTATATTCTTTAATTAATATCCTGAACTTATTATTTTTTCATATAACAATAAATAAGGATAGTTTGGTCCCTCTTCAAAATCACTATAAAATCCCAACAACATCAATCCTTTCCTTACTCATTCCTCTCTCTCTCTTCATCTCTCTGTTTCCTCACTCTGTTTCACCTCTATTCAAAGCCAATTTTTCTCCCTAAAAAGAGACACAAAAAACCACAAACACCATGTGTGAAACAAATCCTAATGAAACCAACACCATGATCCTCACCAACCCTTTAATCCCAAAAGCAAAAAAGAACCAAACTTTACACACCCATCTCTCTCACACCTTCAAAGAAATGACTTCAACCTCAAAAATAGCCTTCCCAATGATCCTAACAGGTGTTCTCTTGTATTTTAGATCCATGATTTCAATGCTTTTCCTTGGCCACCTCAATGACCTTGCTCTTGCTGGTGGCTCCCTTGCTGTTGGCTTTGCCAACATCACTGGCTACTCCATTCTCCCTGGTCTTGCAGTTGGCATGGAGCCAATTTGTGGCCAAGCTTTTGGTGCTAAAAAGTTTACACTCCTTGGTCTTTGCCTCCAAAGAACCATTCTCTTGCTTATTTTAGTTTCAATCCCAATTTCAATCTCATGGCTTTACACGAAAAAACTACTCTTGTTTTTCAACCAAGAGGAAGAAATAGCAACAATGGCTCAAACTTATATTCTCTACTCAATCCCTGATCTTGTTGCTCAGTCTTTCATACACCCTTTGAGAATCTACCTTAGGACTCAATCCATTACTCTTCCTCTCACTCTTTGTGCAGCTTTTTCAATCATTCTCCACATACCCATTAATTATTTTCTTGTCTTTTACCTCAATTTGGGTATTAAAGGTGTTGCCTTAAGTGGGGTATGGACAAATTTCAACCTTGTTGCTTCTTTGATCTTCTACATTTACTTCTCCGGCACACACCGAAAGACGTGGCCCGGATTTTCTTTAGAATGTTTCCAGCAGTGGTTACCACTTATAAACCTCGCCATTCCAAGCTGCATTTCTGTATGCTTGGAATGGTGGTGGTACGAATTCATGACCATCTTTTGTGGCTACCTAATCAACCCAACAACAAGTGTTGCATCAATGGGTGTGTTGATTCAAATCACTTCATTGATGTACATTTTACCTTACTCACTAAGCAATAGTGTTTCAACAAGAGTTGGTAACATGATAGGTGCACAAAAGCCATCAAAGGCTAAACTTTCAGCTATTTCAGGCCTATCATTCAGCTTCATTTGTGGTTTACTAGCATTCATTTTCACTCTTTGTGTAAGAAACATATGGGCTAGAATGTTCACAAATGACCAAGAAATCATTACCTTAACAGCAATGGTTTTACCAATTATAGGTTTGTGTGAACTAGGTAACTGTCCTCAAACAACTGGTTGTGGTGTTCTTAGAGGAACAGCAAGACCTAAAGTTGGTGCTAACATAAACCTAGGATGTTTTTATCTTGTCGGAATGCCGGTTTCCATTTGGTTAGCATTCTATGGTGGATATGATTTTCAAGGTCTTTGGCTTGGTTTGCTTGCTGCTCAGGGATCATGTGCTGTTACTATGTTGATTGTTGTTTATAAAACTGATTGGAAATTTGAAGCTTCAAGAGCAAGGAATCTAGTAACTGGATCAGAAAGTGGTGAGATTGATCAAGAGAAGTTACTTGGTTCTGAAAATAATGAACTTTTTTTGACATTTGTTGATGATGTTGAAGATGAAGATGAAGATGAAGATGATGATGTTGATGATGATGATAATGAAGAGTGTTTGTGTTTGGTTTAAGGAATGTTTTTGTAAAGATAGTAGTAATAACATTTATGGAATTTGTCTTGAACTGTATAGAGATGTAGCAGGTAGAGACAGATGATAACTTTTATATGAATAAATAAATTTAATATATTTGTGATGAAATTCTCAAACTGGAAAAGGGTGTGTGTTTGGGATATTTTATTTACATGGTCCATGTCCTTTTTAAGGCTATTATCCTGATTACATTTATGTGAAATTGAATTACAAATTTGCAGTGCATTGAATTTGAGTGTCATAGGAAAATAGAAAAAACGTGTTGTGCTAAAGATAGGTACCTATTATTTTCTTTAATTTGTGTACCCTCTATTTTGTTTTATCTGTTTCTAGCAGCTATACACAGAAAATGAGACAATCATTTCTTAATTTCTGTTTCTTCTGACTTTTTTAGTTTATTTTATTTTTTTACTACCTCAAATTAAATGACCTTTTGTCTTATTTCTTATTTGTCATATTGTCTTTCAAAGTAAAGAGCATTTGTAAAAGTTACCAACAAATAATACCTAAAATGATATATATATATATATATATATATATATATATATATATATATATATATATATATATATATATATATATATATATATATATATATATATATATATATATATATATATATAATTAAATTTAATGAATAATTAATATATTTAAATTAAATATAAATTAGATACATTATATATCAATATATATTTAATAAATAAAAAATGAAAGAAAAAATAATTCTTCTACAATAAAAATCAAAATCGAGAGAGAATAAAATAGATATAAAAATGAGATGCGTGACGCCAATAATTTTTTTTTGTATAAATACAAACATTATTTTGATATGAGTGTTAGAGTATAATCACTGAACAAGACCAGATTGATTCGATACTCAATGGGCTTCCAGAGGAATATAATCCATTCGCTATGCTGATTTATGGTTACCCTGTTCCCCCAACACTCTGTGATATTGAAGCTTTGCTCTATGTGCGAGAAACACAACTGGATAAATTTTGTCAAGAACTAGCTACTAACACAGTGTCTGCAAATATTGCTCATACTAGTCAAACGGAAGAAAGTTACAGAGGTAACTACTCAGGGAACCGTGGAAGAGGTCACAAGTACAATCGAGGTCGTGGGAGAGGTAGAACCACAACTAGCTCTGTAAATCGTCCAACTTGCCAGCTATGTGGCAAATATGGACACTCTGTCTCCACTCGTTGGCACAAATTTGATGAGAATTTCATGCCACAAGACTATGATAATACTCAGTCTGGATCTACAAACAATGCTGCTCAAATTCAAGGCTCTATGTCACACTCTGCACAGAATCCTAAAGCCATGGCTATGATGGCAACTACACAAAAGTATTCTCTTCCATCCGAGTTGGAGTCTCAAGCTTGGTTTGCTAATTCAGGTGCCTCTCACCACCTAACTCCTTATGATTTCCACTTACAACACATAAAGTCCTATACTGGTTCTAATCGAGTGTATGTTGGGAATGGTCAAACTCTAACCATACATTCTATAGGATTCTCTCAGTTTTATTCTTTCCTTAGCCCTAATTATAAGCTAAAACTGTCTAATGTGTTTCATGTTCCTAGTATCACTAAGAATCTATTATTTGTCTCAAAGTTTTCTAGTGATAACCATGTTGTTTTTGAATTTCATTATGATAAATGCTACATAAAATGTCAGGCTTCTAAACAAATACTTGTTGAAGGAGCTCTTGATGCAAGTGGCCTTTACTGTTTTCCTCAAATACACTTGGAGTCAACACATCCTCACAGCCAAAATAACAGTTTGTGCACTGGTACTACTTGTAGTTGCTTAGTTATTGGCATGCATTTTTGGTAAAACCAGGTGTGTGTGTGTGAATGTCATGACTGATGTCATAACATTCTAGTTTAGTATGTACTGATTCATTAGGTACCTTTGCAGAAAAATATTGTCATACAGGTGCTGCTGTTTATAAGTGTGTATCTGAGCATTTTGCAAAAAGATCACATTTACCTAAATCAGTAGACAGGTTTTCAGATGTCATAACAAATGTTAAGACATCCTGTTCTGAACTAACAGTTATGCAGTTTGGGTAATTCTGAGTTTTTTCAGGAAAATGACTCAGTCTTTCCAGAACAGAAAATCTCGTGGACTTGGGGTTAACCTAGCTCAACCCTAACCTGGTTGATAAAGTCCTGTGACCTAGTCTTGAGGTCAAACGGAATTAACCCTAGCTTTTTGTGGAAACCCTAACTGAAGATGCAGATGCTATATATTCAACAGAGCTGCTGTTTTTGGGATCAATCCCTTTTTGACAGAAGATCATTTAGAAGCTGTATAGTTTTAACTATTGTAATCCAAGCAATTATCATTGTGATAAGTGACTTGGAATAGGTTTTAATTGTAAGGGTTGTGTATCACTCAAAGCTTTGAAGCAAGAGTGTTTGTATGTCTCTTGACTAAAGCTTTGAAGCAAAGTCAAGTTAGGTTTGTGTATCACTCAAAGCTGTGAAGCAAGAGTGTTTGTGTTGCTTGATTAAAAAGCTGTGAAGCATAATCAAGTGTATGTTTTGAAGAGTGTCTTCATCAATTCATTAGTCAAATTGTTTTATGTATCACTGCTGTGATTGAGGGGGAGTGAGTAGGAACTTAGGTTTAAGTTGTACTTAGATTGAAGTTGCATTGGGTAGGTCTTAAGTGAAGGAGATAAACTGGTTGGTTTATTCCTGAATTAATATCTCTTATAGTGGATTTCCTCCCTGGCTTGGTAGCCCCCAGAGTAGGTGTTGTTGCACACTGAACAGGGTAAACAATTGACTGTGTTCTTTACTGTTTTTGTATTTACTGTCTTATAGAAAGTCAGATACGGTGTCATAACATTGAACGTGACATTGAGTATCTGCAGCCAGAATTTCAATTGGCATCAGAGCAGGCACCCTGCCTGTATTACTGGGTGAGATCTAGGGATATCACTTTCTGGCACTATGGACAAAGAAGGAGTTTTTGGAAATAGACCACCCATTCTGGATGGAACAAATTATGACTACTGGAAACCTCGTATGATTGCCTTCTTAAAATCTCTGGACAAAAAGGCTTGGAGAGCTGCTGACAAAGGATGGATCTATCCCACCATAACTGAGAAAGATGGGACAATCAGTCTGAAGCCTGAGGAAGATTGGAGTAAAGAAGAAGATGAGTTAGCCCTGGGAAATTCCAAAGCTTTAAATGCCTTGTTCAATGGAATTGATAGAAACATATTCAGACTAGTACATCAATATGAACTGGCCAAGGAAGTTTGGGACACTCTCAAAACTACCCATGAGGGCACTTCCAAAGTAAAAATGTCAAGACTTCAGATGTTGACTACCAAATTTGAGAATCTAAAAATGATGGAAGATGAAACCATTCATGAGTTTCACATGAACATCTTAGAGATTGCCAACACCTCAGGAGCACTGGGAGAAAAGATGTCAGAAGAAAAATTGGTGAGAAAGATTCTCAGATCCTTGCCTAAAAGATTTGCTATTAAGGTAACTGCCATAGAGGAAGCCCAGGACATCAGCAAGTTGAAAGTGGATGAACTAATTGGGTCTCTTCAGACTTTTGAGATGGGGATCACTGATAATGGTGACAAGAAGAACAAGAGCATAGCACTTGTATCCAACACTGATGTTGAAAACAAGGAGGATGAAGAAGAAAATATTTCAGAAGCTATAGCCATGCTTGGAAGACAATTCAACAAACTCATCAAAAGAATAGATCCAAAGTCAAGGTCTAATGTTCATAACATTCCCTCTGACATTGACAGTTCCAGCAGAAGACCAAGGTCAGCAGAGAAGGGAAATCAAGGCAGGGGAATTCAATGCCATGGTTGTGAAGGATTTGGGCATATTCGAGCTGAATGTCCTACCTTTCTTAAGAAACAAAAGAAAGGAATGACTGTTACTTGGTCTGACTGTGATTCAGAAAGTAATTCTGAAGAAGAATCTACCAAACTAGTTACTGCTCTAACTGGTGTTTGTACCTCTGAAAGTGACACTAGTGATGAAGAAGTGACATTTGAAGAACTGGCTGATACCTACAAGAAATTGTGTATCAGAAGTGCTGAAGTCTGTGTGCAGAATGAGAAACAATCAAAACTCATCATAAAGCTGGAGGCTGAAAAAAGGGCAGACCTTGAAACTATAAGTCATCTAGAAGGGGAAGTTAAATTGCTGAACTCACAACTGAACCAAATGACCAAATCTGTCAAGATGCTGACTAATGGAACAGACAAATTGGAAGAGATTCTTCAAGTTGGACAAAATGTGGGAAACAAATCTGGACTAGGATTTGTGGAAGCTAAGAAATCTGGTGCAGACAAGAAGATCAGGCCTGTTAAACAAATGTCAAAGCAGATGTCTCAACACAACTCTCAATATCAGAAACAGAGATATATGAAGAAAAAGTACCAAAGATGGAGATGTCATCATTGTGGGAGGTATGGCCACATAAAGCCTTTCTGCTTCAAATTGCATGGATACCCTAATCAAAACTCAGGTGTTAAACCTAAGTCAAAAAGGGTACCACATACTCCTCAATGGAAGAAAAAGGCTACTGCCCTGATAGCCCACACTTCCTTGAGAGTCTCTGCAAGGGAAGGCTGGTACTTTGACAGTGGGTGCTCTAAGCACATGACTGGAATAAAGAACATTCTCAATCATGTTAAACCTCACACCACTAGTTATGTGACCTTTGGAGATGGTGCTAAAGGTGAAATCAAAGGAGTTGGTAATTTGGACTGCCCTGAAGTTCCAAATCTAAATGAAGTTCTATTGGTAAAAGGCCTGACTGCTAATCTCATTAGTATCAGTCAATTGTGTGATTTAGGATTCAAGGTCATCTTCTCAAAATTTGAATGTCTAGTAATTAATGAAAAATTAGAAGTGGTAATGAAAGGAATCAGATCTAAAGATAACTGTTACTTGTGGCAGCCTGAGAACACTAATAACTCC